CGATTGGTTTACTGAGATAAAAAACACACTCTAAAATAACTTTTATTTAACCGAGACAGGCAAATCTGGATTTGAAAACAAACAAAAAACCACCCTAGTATCAAAGATGTTTATTTTGGAAAGTATTTCCCCACTGTTAACTTGTAACATGCCTCTTTACAAAGTAAAATAACTTTTATTTAACCGAGACAGGCAAATCTGGATTTGAAAACAAACAAAAAACCACCCTAGTATCAAAGATGTTTATTTTGGAAAGTATTTCCCCACTGTTAACTTGTAACATGCCTCTTTACAAAGTGACCTGCCCTTCACTGTGTGCAAGAACTGGATTTTTTTTTAATTACTATTTTTGATACACCTATACACAATTTTGGGCCATCATCACTGATAAAAAAATTGGAAAGAACTGTTTTGAAAAAAATTTTTGGAAGTAAAAAAAACCTGGATAGTAACAGAACTCCAAGTATTGTCTTTGGTCTTTTATATCGATTTCTGAAGGGATTTCTCATCATCAGATTGAACATCTTTTCGAAACAGTGCTAGTTTAGTGGTCCATTTTTCACCTCAGCTACCAAGCAATAGCACAACTCCATGCAAATGTGCACGCACTTACCAGACCAGTCGCTGTGATCGTACCTATTCTTCAAGGAAGTTATTCATTACTGTCTAACTGGCAACACAGAGGAGATTACACACTGCTGCTGTCTTTGAGCGAGCCTCAAATGTTACCGTAGGTATTAGCACTTTTAACACTCCACTAATTTTATTTTTTAGGTGAGCCCCTGTAAAGATGTAACCAAACTTTACATTGATTTCTCTGCGTTTTGGATCAGGCTTACACTACCTAAGCCTTAAAAGCTTGCTTTAAATACAAACACAACCCTACAACTAAGGGATTCACCCTACCTAAATTAGTGTGGAAACTGCAAATACAACCTAAACCAGTAATCCCGGTTTCCTCTATAGCTGACAGAGGCGCAGGGGAAAATTTGCGCTACTTCGTAACTTGCATTTAAAAGACATGGGAGCAGTCACCCTTGCTGGCTCTGTTTACTGCTGTTGGTTCTAGAGAGCGCCTGGCGGACTGACTAACCCAAGATGCCCACATGCTGGATAGCTAAAGGCAGTTGAGACAAACACGAGTGTAAAAAAAAAAACAAGCAAAGTTTTCTTTTGGAAAGGCTGCAGGAGGAAAACCAGCCTTTTCAACAACCGGCAGCAAGGGGACTGCTCAGCTGAACTTGGCTTTTCAAGGCTGCCACTCTTGACCCCCTACATACAGATGCACAAAAACTTTAAAAAAAACTACATGCCAGACAACTGACACACAAACAAAACATATCTGAACTTTGGGGTCACTACACCATCTTCTAAAAACTCAAGGGATGCTACTGATTTCCATGTACACACAGATTGCTTCTAAGCAAACACTGTAAGAAACTACAACAAAAAACCAAGGAGTTGTGACACCCTCATAATTACATGCCTTAATTTATCAAATCAGTCGCTACACTCACTTTAAATTGCTGTTACACACACTGCGCCAACATAATGTTAAAACTTCCACAAACTCTGCTGAAGTATATCATGACTAATACACAACACACCTAGACACAGAGAGAAAACATATGGACGACCAGTACAAAAGCATACTATACCTCCAGAAATTGGGGAAAAAAAAAAGACCCCAGATACAGTCATTTCTTTATGTGTTTATTACTTTAAAAGGAAACATATTAATGGTGCTTTAGGGAAAATCTGATACAAACAGAAAATACCTGGACATACCTATGTTGCCATTTAACTGCTGAATAGGGAGGAAAGTTAGATTACATACACTAACTCTAGCTTAATTTTTCTGTGGATGCTTGCTGTGTTTCAACTTTTAAACCACTTCAGCATTCCAGTGTAATTAATGCTATTTAAAAATAATAGTAAATCAAGTGTAAAGAAACCCATGGTATTCTCTCCTTATTAAAAAAAAAAACCACCACCATATAAAACATGTCCTAATACTCTTTCTGTTCAAACATTCCTTTATCCATTTTACTTACAAGTGAACGTTAGTCTCTGTAGCTATCTTGAAAGAAATCAAGTAATCAGAAGCAATCATCAACCTAAGCATTTCCTCTGCCTTGAGCAATGACTGTACTGGTTCATTTTAGAACAAACCCACCATTCAACTTGGTCTATAACAATTTATCTTAAATGACTCAAAGTAACCATGACATTCTTTCTATGAGCAGTATAGCTGAACATAATTTAAAGTATAAAGCAAAATAAAAGCCTAATAGATGTTACACGTTTTAATATTCTATCTGCTTGTAAAAAGCTGACATCCGTATAATCAACATAACTTAAAATATCAAAGGCTTCATTTAATCTTAGATAACTTCAGTTTACATTTCGTGTTTCACCAGTGGCACTGCTAGGTTCAGACCTAAACGTTTTGGTTTGGTCAGTTGTAAAATGCAATCTGAGAGACAAGAAGTGAATTTTTAGAGGTTGTAAAAGAAAACCTCAAATTTTCAATTCTAAGCGTAAGAGGTTTAAAAAAAAAAAAAATCAAACTATGTAAGG